AATTCTTCCCTCCTCCTTCCCTCCTCTCCGAACACCCACCGTCGGATTCTTCCCTCCTCTCTGAACACCCACAACCTTGCCGCAGGTTGATTTCCTTGTAGTTTGCCTCCTGCTCAAATAGAGCAGGTTGAATGCAATGGTCGATGACGATCGATAGCAAAGGTCTAGAAGCGGGTTTTGGCCTAGACAATTTTCAGATCTGCCGACTGGAGAGAAACTCTGGGTCGATTGTTTTGAGATTGAGTTGAGTGAGATTTGGGGGTTCTGTCGCGATGTGATCTTGACGGCCGCCATCAACTTAGGAAGAAGCATATATGTGTTAGATCGCATAAACTTACGAACAGAAACGATAATAAACACACAGGTTTACGTGGTTTCCCCGTTCAGTGTGAACGAGACTATTCCACGGCCGAAGCTATACGATCCTCTTATTCAGCTTAACCTCAGCATACGGTTACATACGTATTTATATAAGCTAGGTGCAAACCCTAGCTAGCCTCTCGGCATCCCCAAACCCGCCAATACCCAATACATACGAGATAGGGAATGGGCCGAGCCCATGTACATCAACAGCCTCCCCCAAATTGATGAGGATCTCTCATCATCAATTTGCGAGAAAGATAAAAATGACGCGCAGCTGTGAACGACTTGGTTAAGAGATCGGCAATCTGATCTTCCGAGGTAACATAGAACAGCCGAAGGATGCCATCCCTAACCAAGTCACGTATATAGTGCAAGTGGACCTCGATGTGCTTCGTGCGCTCGTGGAGGACAGGATTCGTAGCAATCTGGATGGCACTGGTATTGTCAACGTAGAGCTGAAAAGGACTAGTACACTCCACACCCAGATCCTCCAAGAGCCGGCGAAGCCAGACTAGTTCAGAAGTGACATCTGACATAGCGCGATACTCTGCCTCAGTAGACGATTTAGAGACCCGGTCCTGCTTTTTACAACGCCATGAGAGAAAAGACGCACCGAGGCGTACACACCATCCAGTAGTGGAGCGTCTGGTGTCTATGCAACCTGCGTAGTCAGAGTCAGAGAAGGCCTGAAGCTCCAATGACCCTGACGAAGGAAGGAACAGACCGACCTCTCTCGTGCCCTGTAAATAACGCAGTATACGGTGAACTGCAGCCAAGTGATCAGTACGGGGAGCAGACATAAACTGACTGACGATCTGAACTGCGTAGGCAATGTCCGGTCGCGTAGAGGTCAAGTAGATAAGACTACCGACCAAACTCCGATAGTGCTTGCCCCCATCCGCCAACAAGTCACCAGACTCACGACTTAGTTTCAAGTTAAGCTCCATCGGAGTAGAGACTGAGCGACATGAATCAAACTGGGAGGACTCAAGAAGATCAGTAATGTACTTGGCCTGGCTAAGAAGAATCCCAGCCGAAGACCGCTTGACTTCCAATCCCAGAAAATAAGAAACAAGACCGAGTTCCTTCAAGCTGAACGATTCATGTAACCCCTTTGTGAGAGCCTCAATGCCCTGTGCATCATCACCTGTTACTATCATATCATCAACATACAAAAGAAGCACAACAAGTCCTGCAGAGGTGCGCCGAGTAAACAAAGATGGGTCATTAAGACTCTGCTCAAAGCCAAGGGATACGATAGTAGAGTGAAACTTATCAAACCATGCTCGAGGTGCTTGCTTCAACCCATAGAGAGAACGGCGGAGAAGACAGACCTGGTCTGAGGTGCCGTGAGGATAACCAGGTGGACGTTCCATGTATACAGTTTCCTTAAGGTCGCCATGCAAAAAAGCATTCTTCACGTCCATTTGGTAAAGGGGCCAACCACGAATAGACGCAACCGCAAGGAGAGAGCGAACAGTAACCATTTTAGCCACCGGGGCAAAGGTCTCCTCAAAATCAATACCATATTCCTGACAGAAGCCCTGTGCGACCACCCTAGCTCGGTAACGTTCAATGGTACCATCAGGGAGCATCTTCAAAGTATAAACCCATCGGGAACCAATGACCGGCACCTCTGGTGGAGGACGAGCGACCAAATCCCATGTTTCATTAGCATGGAGAGCATCAAATTCCGTGGCCATGGCAGCGTCCCAATGAGGATTCCCCTTAGCCTGCGAAAAACGAGTAGGAACGGGGACAGAATCAACACTGTAAGTAACATAATCCAGAAAACGAGCGGGGGGAGCCCCGAGCGTAGACCGAGTAGACCGTCGAGGAGGAACCGCTGGAGGCGAAGGCGATGAGGAAGAAGACTCCTCCTCGGCAGAAGAACTCGATGATGGCGAGGGAGGGGAGTCGGGGGGCAGCGGATCAGCTGGTGGTTCGTGAGGCGCATCATCATCATCATCATCATCTGCGAATGAGGGTGGACTAAGAGACAGGTCAAACAAGGGAGGGTCAGACACGGAAGGAGACGAGTAGTACATGAGGTTCTCAAGGAAGACAACATGACAGGCAACCCGAACCCGGCGAGCAGTAGGATCATAGCAGAGGTAACCCTTGTGGATATCACTGTAACCGAGAAAACAACAACGGACAGTTTTGGAAGTGAGCTTAGTGCGTTCGGAACGCGGAAGCAGAACAAAACAGACACATCCAAAAACCCTAAGACGGGAATAGGGAGGGGGTTTAGAGTAGAGACGGAAGTATGGACTGGTGTTGTCAAGGACAGGAGTTATCTGGTAGTTAATAAGGCGAGCAGCAGTGGCAACTGTCTCAGGCCAGAACGTAGACGGGACACAGGATGAGAGCAAAAGAGCACGGGTGACTTCTAGGACATGACGGTTTTTGCGCTCAACTAACCCATTTTGCTGGGATACACCTGGACAAGACTTCTGAGAAAGGATACCCAAGGACTGGTAGAGACGAAGCAAAGGACCCGAACTAAACTCCCCACCCGGATCAGATCGAACTACACGAACGGTCCTATCAAACTGGGTTTTGATCATAGCAAGGAATTCAGTAGCAACAGATAGCAGATCAGATTTCAAACGAAGAAAATAAACCCATGTGTATCTAGTTGCATGATCTATGAACAAAGCAAAGTATTTATACCCAAAACGAGAAGTGACTGGACTAGGTCCCCATAGATCAGTATGAATCAGGTGAAAAGGCTCAGAAATCACAGTAAGGCTAGAAGGAAAAGAAATCCGAGTAGTTTTGGCCTCAATGCAACTAGTACAAGAAAAATCCGACGAACAATGTGCTTTAACATGGGTTCCAAACAACTGTTGCTTAAACATAGTCATAAGTCTACCAGAATGTGGGTGGCCCAACCTAGCATGCCATAACCGAAAACTATCAAGAGGAAGACTCGAAAAAACACAAGGATCACTAGACTCGGAAACTGCAGATGATGACGATGGCGACTGTAGGTGATCGAGGTAAAAGATCCGTCCCTTCTTGCTGCCCCTACCGATCGCCCTCCCTGTCGTCTGATCCTGAACAACACAACCAGACGGTGCAAACGTAACACAGTAACCTTGATCAGTAAGCTGTCCCACAGAAACAAGACTAGGAACAAGTTTCGGCACATGGTAAGTTGAGGGTAAATCTATGGACGAATTGTGAACAGAACCAATGCCCGAAACGTGCAACATCTCACCATTTGCAACCTGAAGAGACAAATTTTCTACTGGCGAAATGTGCTGCATAGCGGTAGCTTGACCAGTCATATGATTAAAACAAGCAGAATCTAATATCCAGGCAGGAGACTTACCGGAAACCTGAAGACTGGCAAAAGCTGAGTTGACAGCCTTGTTAACTAGCTGTTCGAGAGTGGCAGGGGTGACAAGAATCCCTTCGGAGCCTGGCGCGGGTTGCGTAGCATAGGCAGGCCGAGCAGCAGCTGGAGCTGAAGTGGACCGCGAGGAAGAACCACCGCGAGCCTCCCCGTCGCAGAAACGGCCCTCCAAGCTTGGGCAATCAGGGATGATGTGCCCGGTTTTCTTGCAATATACACAGAAGTTCTTCTTCTTACAGAACTTCTTCGTATGACCCTTCTCCTTGCAATGGAAACACTCCACATCGGAGGAGGTAACCCGACGTTGGAAGGCAGCCCGATACGCGGCATAAACCTCCCCTGCTTCCCCGCCAGCATCCCGATCATCCACTGCCTGCCCGGAACGACGCCCAGCAGCAGCGCCTGGAGATCCCTGCGACGTCGGAGCGGCAGCAGCACTGAAGACCGCTCGATCACCTGCGCCAGGGCGAACATCCAAGGCGGCCTGAGTCCGAAGCTGCGTCTCCTCCTGGATGAGAGCTCCCAAGACCCCTTCAATGCGGAGATTCTCGCGGTTCAGGAGAGAAGCCCGGATCGTCTCAAATTCCGGGTTCAAGCGCATCAGGAACTGCATCAGCCTGATCTTCTCCCTCTCAGCCTTGACTTCTTGCGTACCGGCGGTAGTCAGAAGGCTTGCAATGATCATGTCCTGTTCTGTCCACAGGTTGCGAGCTGCATTGTAGTACGAAGTCACATCCAGACTCCCTTGAAACAGCGCCGCAAGTTCAACCTCGACCTCATATTGGCGAGAGGCGCCAGCTGTCTTGTACGTATCAGCGAGATACTTCCACATGGCGGCGGCGGTAGGTAGCATGCGTAGACCCAAAATGATTGATGGATCAACCGAGTTAAGGAGCAGCATCCGAACCTTGGCATCGGTGAGAACCCATTGTTTGTGCGCTTCTTCATCCGTTGCGGCAGGTCGAGCGGCCGTGTCGTCGAGCCAACCGAGAAACCCTTTCCCTTCAATCAACGTACAGAACTGAAACTCCCATATTGCATAGTTCTTGGAGTTGAGACGTGCGGTGATTTGATCATACGACATAGGCTCTGATACCATGTTAGATCGCATAAACTTACGAACAGAAACGATAATAAACACACAGGTTTACGTGGTTTCCCCGTTCAGTGTGAACGAGACTATTCCACGGCCGAAGCTATACGATCCTCTTATTCAGCTTAACCTCAGCATACGGTTACATACGTATTTATATAAGCTAGGTGCAAACCCTAGCTAGCCTCTCGGCATCCCCAAACCCGCCAATACCCAATACATACGAGATAGGGAATGGGCCGAGCCCATGTACATCAACAATATGGAGGCAGGGGAACCCAGATCCCAGTCTCGTTGTCGTATTCTCCTTCCTCCGGGGGTGCTATGGGTTTGGGCAAGAGAGAGTGTCGATCCGAGCTCACACAAGTCAGAGGCAACTTCGAATGATAGCAACTCAATCCCAGGTAGCTGTTGCGGCTTGAGGAGCATCCTGCCGGAGGAAAATAGAGGCTCATCGGCATCCATCGTCGGCAGAGAGGAGATCGATTTGAGAGGTAGAGGTTCTCTAGCGGTTTCCCAATTCATTTTGGTGAAAGTAAGATTATTGGGGAAGGGAAATTTTTTTTATTTTAAATACAATATGTTGTTTAGGTTGACCGACAGATGTGGCATCTTTTGTTGACTGCCACGTAATAAAATTTCTTCTACCTTAGCATAACTTTTGCCAGCTCACAATTAGGGATGACAATGGGGCGGGTTTGGGGCAGTTTTGCCTAAACCATCCCCATCCACGTTTCCAAATATCCAAACCCATACCCGCACCATACCCATGGCGGGGAGGTTTTGCAAACCCATCCCCATACTCGTGGATTTCGGGTACCCATGGATAATACCCGCCACGTAGATCCAACTTTATAACACCTAAAATTTTATATGTAAATTTTTAAGGGTATGCCTCTGGTGACTTGCAAGTCACCGTAACTTGGAGAAAACGGATGACCTCTTCCATTAAGTGGTCGACCACTTTCAAAGAAAATGGTTGACCTCTTCCACCACGTGATCTACCACTTGAGTCAACCGGTCTAGCGCTTTCATAAATAGGTCGACCTAATGATACACTTACATTCAAGTGGTCGACCTCTTCCACCAAATAGTCGACCACTTTCCAAGGAAATGGTCTACCACTTACACCAAGTGGTCCACCACTTGTGTCAACCGATCTACCGCTTCCGGAAATGGGTCGACCTGAAGACACACTTACCTTCAAGTGGTCGACCTCTTCCACCGAGTGGTAGATCAATTTCCAAGAAAATGGTCTACGACTTCCACCAAGTGGTCTACCACTTGAGGCAACTGGTCACAAGACAATGATAGGATAAAAAAACAAGCAAACTTAGAATTTGAAGGAAAGATGAAAGTATCTATAGAGTAAGTCAAATACAAGAAATAAATAAATATTTTCCAATTCTACGGGAGAACAATCACTCGAGAAACTTGCTATCTATGCTTGCATCCTTTGTACTACTTCTCAATCTCTTACTAGCAAGCATATCTATTATTAGTGGACACAAATTATTTATGATTATATCACTAGCAATGATTCATCAGGTCGACTGGTTATTGAAAGCGGTGGACCGCTTGATGAAAGAGGTACACCACTTGATGAAAGTGGTAGCCCTATTATCTTGTAAAGTGGTCGACCTTTTAGTGGAAGAGGTCGACCGTTTGTTGAACATAGGAAATTGAAAAATAGTACATTTGGTCGACCATTCCAGCAAAGAGGTCGACCATTTTGTCCAAATAAGTCGACCATATCAGTGAAGAGGTCAACCGTTTTGTCCAAGTCATGGTGACTTGCAAGTCACCGTAGCAAGTCAAATTTTTAATATAACACTAAAACACACCTACTATATCATGAAATCGACAAAGAGACGTTCATTCTTAACACGGTTCAAAGCATCTTATTCTAAAACATCCATTAAATTACAAGATAGAATACAATGCAATCCAAATCATTATTCTCTTCCTCTAATAAATCTACAAAGTAAGAACTAACTAACATAATCTTGTTAGCACGAGTGAACAAAAATGAAAGAGTGAAGAGAGAGTTGAGGAAAATGAATTACGTTTTGATTTTGGTGGTCACCCAATTGCATTTCTACTATTTATTTTCTTGACTTACCATCACTATTATTGATAGGTTACAATTTAATCAATATATTTTTATACGTGAATAAATGCTCGTGATGGGGCGGTATGGTTATGGGTATTGGGCGGGGGAGTCTAAAACCATACCTGCCCCATACCCATCAAACATTTTGCGGGTTTCACCCATACCTGCCCCATACCCAGTCAAAGCAAGGATTCCCCGCGTTGACTGGATCGGGGGCAGTCGAGTACCTGCCGCCATGGGTTTGATTGTCATCCCTACTCACAATCATCTAATGGAATTGTTAACCGTAAGTTAACGTATGACTAATAATTTGTATTTTGATAGTTGTGGCTATAATTTCCTGTTGCTTAATAGTTCTGGCTAATATATTGTATTTATCCAATAAATTATTCTCATTTTTTACACATGTGATAAATTGTTCTCATGTTTATATACTCTGTTGGTATTGGGGATAACAATGGGGCGGGTTTGGCTAAGCCATTCTCATCCCCGCTTTCAAATATTCAAATCCATACCCGCCCCATACCCATACAGGGAGGGTTTTCCAAACCCATCCCCATACCCGTGGGTTTCGGGTACTCATGGGTAATACATGTCCCGTACATCCAACATGATAACACCTAAAATTTTACATATAAATTTTCAATTATAACACTAAACGCACTTACTATATCATGAAGTCGACAAAGAGACAATCATTTCTAACACGGTTCAAAGTATATTATCCTAAAGCATCCGTTAATCCATAAGGTAGAATGCAATGTAATCCAAATCATTATTCTCTTACTCTAATAAATCTACTAAGTAATAACTAACTAACTAACTAGGTGGCTACTTCGGGGCACTCACTTTTTTGGGTGCATTCAGTGCACTCCTCTAAAAGTGATAATAATACATCGAATTTTGAATTTTAATGGGTAGCATTAGTCTAATATGATGATATAATATAGAATCACAATTAATCAATCTATTATCATAACCCCTTAACCTTCAATTTTGAATTCCAACCCAAAATATAAACCCTAACCCTAAATTCCTAAACCCTAAATCATTCAAATTTACAGTTAATCTTGAATGATTTTTTGTACAAATTCATGTGTTTCTTGTTCATCTAACCACAGGTGATGATTGATATTGTTTTCACATGAATCGCCTTCTCGGAATTCGACTATGAAGCGAGTGCATTGAATGCACCCAAAAAAGTAGGTGCACTGAATACGCCACCAACTAACATAATCTTGTTAACAACCGAAACAATGAAAGAGTGATGGGAGAGTTGAGGAAAAAGAATTAAGTTTTGATTTGGGTAGTCATCCAATTACATTTCTACTAAATATTTTCTTGAGTTACTCTCACTATTATAGATAGGTTACAATTCAATCAATGTATTTTTTATATGTGAAGAAATTATCCTAATGGGGTGGGTATAGGGCGGGAAGGCTAAAACCATACCCGCCCCATACCCATCAAAGGTCGATCGAAGTACCCACTGACTGGAATCCATCTAGACATTAAAAGAAAAGATTTTTGCTGGTTTTACCCATACCCGACCCGTACCCGGTCAAAACGAGGATTCCCCGCGTTGTCTGGGTCGGGGGCGAGCGGCTACCTGCGGTCATGGATTTTATTGCCATCCTTGTTGGTATCAACATATTATTTTGTTCATAAATTTTAAGTAGTTCATATCATGTTATTTCATAGTAACTAGTATCTAAACAATCTATGATACATTTCTCTTTTAAATTATAAGTAACACATATTTGCTCGCATGCTCAAAGTTTAAACATTGTATGGGGTTAGATGATCTACAATTTAACAAGCTCATGAATCATCAAGAAGTCAACACATAAGATATAGATCAACCTTCTCATAAGTGGGTAGTCGTGTTAACTCATTAGCCACAATGTTGAGACATATCCACCCCCTATTACATGAACAAGTTAAAACTACACTGAACAAGAACAATTTGGTATTTTCCCTGTTAAACTTGTACAAAAAACGGTTTTGTGTTGCCATTTTGACCAAAAACTAATTCGGACCGAATCCCGCCCTTATTATACGATGGACTTAAATGACAAACATCAGAAGTGCACTCATCCATCTTTTTATCGAATTAATGCTAACGACGCATCATAATCAGCCACGTGCCGAGTTTCCATTAATCAAATTCAAATGTTCATTTAAGCCTTAACACTATACATTAGCCGTTAGGCTATTTAAATAGAAAACCCCAATAGCGCAAAGGTTTGTGCCAGTCTCATTTCCAACCCATTCTCCGTTTCTCTTACAGGACTCGATCTAGGAATGCAACTATAGAGTTCCAAGTTCCAACAAAGAAATTGATAAAAACGTGTATTCTTTCTTTCCAATTCTTAAGTAATTACAGCCTTCACGTGACCCTAATCAAGGGTACAAAATGTTTATTTAACACACTGGTCCGTACTACGAGTCAACAGACTTTTTGGAGTTGCTTTGCTTGGGGCCAAAGCTGGGAGTGCAACCCAAATTGCAACACACCACTGGAATGCTTTTCCTACCCTCTCTCTCCCTCTCTTAAAGCCATAAACCCAAAACCCCTACATTATAGCTCTCGGAACTCCGCCTAAAAATAGAACCGGGAACAAACAAGAGAAGAGAAGAGAAGAGAAGAAACCGCTCTCTCCCTTGGGTCCGCCGCCGTCGGCGTTGATCAGACCTGGATGCAAAAAGAGGATCACGGCAGAGTGAAAATTTTCGAAATTTCTCTTGCATGGCGTTCAACTCTCGAGCAAAGCCGCATTCTTCCAGGAAGAGGAAGCCCCGGCAACTCAAAAACTTGTTTCTTCTCCGTGACAAAGTGGAGGTACTACAACGCTAGTGAAAAAAAAGGGTTTTTCAAAATCATGTCTTTGCTGGATTTTCCTTTTTAATGTCTGTTTGTTGGTTGGTGCCCTTTTTAGCTCCGGTTTCCTTCAGTGTTTGCCTATATCTGAATTCCCCCTTCTCTCTGCAATTTCAACGCTTCCCAAACATGGGTTTCCCGTTTTCCATCGTGTGATTCCAGATTTGGGTTTTGATGATCACCTGGCAGGTAAGAAGCAAAGAGGAAGGGTTTCTAGGCTCGTGGCACCAGGGAACCATCATTCAACGTCGAAGGATCGGCTACCAAGTGAAATTCGATGTGAAGTATGATCATTTAATTGTCGATGATGGTTCTTCTGACAATGTGGTTGCTTCCGTGGCTGTTTCACTTGTGGTGGTCTCTGATCAGGAGACTACTACTACTACTCCTCGTGGGTACATTAGGCCATTGCCAAACCCAATCGAGTTCGACCTGTGGAGGCTTCCTTTTGGGTTATGTGTTGATGTGTATCACAATGATGGTTGGTGGGAAGGGGTGATTTTCGACTATGACGATGGTTCGAAAGAGAGGAAAGTTTTCTTCCCTGACTTGGGTGATGAAATGATGGCTCCTATCTCTGCACTCAGAATCACCCAGGACTGGGATGATGTCACTGAGAAGTGGGATCGCCGAGGAATGTGGCTGCTTCTTGAGTTGGTTGAGGAGTACAGAGACAAGCATCATTACCATATTCCGGTCTCCATCCAACAATTGTGGTATGACTTGCAGGAGAAGCCCGGGTTCGTGATGATTCGAGATTGGACTTGCTCTTCCAGAGCTAAATGGGAAAGTTTGCTTTTCGAGGCAATTCACGGGAATCTTAAAATCGTCGTGAAGCATCTCTTTCATGAGTTAACCCTTCCACAAGGTCTAGAGAAGGTATTGGAGCTTGCTAAGTCGGGTGGTCAGGGTAGTAGTAGTTATACGGACTCTGAAGGAATCATTGATGAAGTACCAATTGATTTGTCACTATTGTGCACTCTGGATCAGGAGCAAGCAAATGCAATCATACCCTCAAGCATTGAGCAAGCAAATGCGATCATACCCTCAAGCATTGAGCAAGCAAATGCAATCATACCCTCAAGCATTGAGCAAGCAATTTCTGCTTCTAGTTCCAGGAAAATCAAAAGCTTCTGCTCAACTTCATTCCGTCCGAGAAAAAAATACACCTGGCTACCTGCAGGGCCAGATATGGTTCAAGGGGCAAAGTATTGCCCGGAAGCTATTTTCAAATGTGTAAAACGTGGCCGTGCCACTGGCAGCAGAGACTCGGCTGATGAGGCTAGGCAACATCTTCTATATCTGAAATGGAGGATTATGTACTACAAGGACGCATATAGCATCAGAAAGCGTTACATATCGCCAACCGGCAAGTGTTTCGATTCAGTTGTAACGGCATGTCGGTATTTGATCAAGTCCGGGGGTGTGAATCCTCAATTGGTCTCCTCAGAACATGAGCAAGCATCAACCCTCCATGACGAGGCTGCTGCAGCTTGTGGCTCTTTGTCTCCCCTTCATGAACTGCAGCAGCAGGATGATGATCATCATGGTTCTCGTATCTCCGTTAAACGTCCCGATTCCACTAGAGCAATAGTGGATTGGCTTAAGGATCCTCGCAGAGGCGGAGGCAAGAAGAACCGTGCGACGAAAAAAGGAGCAAGGGATAAGCTTGCGGCTATGGGATGGACGACTAAGGTAATGAAACGTGGTGGCGGCAAGTGTCAGTGGGTATATAAGTCGCCGATGGGGCGTCTTTACTACTCACTTGTAGAAGCTTGCAAAAGCATTATGGACAATAAGAAGGATAAATCTGTTGTTGCTTCTAAACTTGCTAGAAAACAGAGCAAGACTACTACTAGATGGGTTAGAAGAGGCCCGACAGAAAGAACAGAAGCTGATTTGGGTATTCATAAGAAACCTGGTCAACCGACGTCACATATACGATCAAGGAAACAAGCACGGCAGATTCTAGAGCTTACACCTGCACATACTCATCCTATGACCACGGTTTCATGGCTAATTGATAAGAATACAATCTTGCCAAGGGAGAAAGTATACTACCGTACGAGTAAGGATGATCATCCCAGGGCAAAAGGGAAACTAACCCGGGAAGGGATCAAATGCGAATGTTGTATGAAGGTGTATTCTCTCAGTAGTTTTGAACTTCATGTAGGCAATACAAACCACAGAAACTGCCATGGACCAGCTAACAGCATATTTCTGGCTGATGGAAGGTCTCTATTAGATTGTCAGGTGCAGGCGATGCATGCTGGAAAGGGGAGGAGGTGCTTAGCTGCAGGCCACCAAAAGAGATTGAAGGTTAGTCGTGAAGCGGAGAATGACGAGGTGTGTTCGTATTGTCGGCATGGAGGCAAACTAATCTTATGTGATCAGTGTCCATCCTCGTTTCATGGTAGTTGCCTTGGTATGAAAGTAAGTAATCTTCTATTCTTTGTTTTTCGGCAGATATATGTATCACTTGTATACCTTAGTTGGCATATTCTGGATTTTTGTCTTTGTATATTTTCAGGATGTTCCAAGTGGGGACTGGTTCTGCCCCTCGTGTTGTTGTAGGTTTTGCAAGCAAAACACAGCGCTCAAAGACAGTGAAAGCTTTGAGGATGATGGTGTTCTCAGATGTACTCAATGCGAGAAAAACTGTAAGTTTCTCGATTTGAATCGGAAAAAATGCACATTTTATTCACTGTTGAAATTCGTATATTCTACCCAAACAACCCGAAAATATGTTCCCCTAAATTGACACTTCTCTGCTTTACTTTTAATATGTCTGGTGCAGATCACATTGCATGCCTGAAGAACAATGGAGCATGTGATTTGGATCTCGATCATAAAGGAAACTCATTTTGTGGGAGTAGCTGTAGAAGGGTACTACTTCATACTCTCCCTAAACCTCCATCTCAAAATTAGAAAGGGATTTCTAACTGTTAAACTTGTCGTCTACAGATATTCGATAACCTCTCTGCCATTCGTGGAGTACCGTTTCCGGTTGGTGTGGATGACCTCACTTGGACATTACTGAAATCAGACTCTGGTGATTCTAGCATTGAAGCTAAAGCTCAGAGCTATATGAAACTTGGCATTGCTCTTCATATCATGCATGAGTGTTTTGAGCCTCTTGAAGAATCTCGCACACGGAGAGACATTGTAAATGATGTCATTTTCAATGAAAGGTAGGTCTGTCGGTAAGTCCATTCTTGTTCCGAAATACAAATTAATATATACTTCCTATTTCCTTTTGCAATAACTAGTTCCCCAATTTACTCTGCAACACCAAAATTTCCAGGTCAGAACTAAAACGCTTGGACTTTCAAGGCTTTTATACAGTACTCATTGAGAAAAATGAGGAAGTAATTAGCGTGGCAAATTTGAGGTTGGTTGGTTTGCAATCTCATCATTTGTGACAGTGTCTTGGACTTCCCTTCTTCAGCTCCAAGTACTAATGACTTGTTGTGGGTTTTGTTTAACTTGCTTTCTTCAGAATCCTTGGGGAGAGTGTTGCAGAAGTACCTCTAGTTGCCACAAGGCATCAGCATCGTCGTCGTGGAATGTGTCGCGTCATAATGAATGTGATTGAAGAGGTGCCAGAATCTGTGTATCGCCTCAGTCTTTCCAGTATTTATTAGTTTTTGTTTGACCCTTTCTTTTCTTCTAACAAGATTGTCCCATTCTTTCTTGGAATGCTCAGAAGCTAGCTGAGCTAGGAGTTGAGAGGCTGGTTCTACCCGCAGTTCCTAATGTGTTGAACACATGGACGGGTTCATTTGGGTTTTCAGAGATGGCTGATTCCGAGAGACTCCAGTTTGCAGACTCCATATTCTTGAACTTTCCAGGCACTATCATGTGTCAGAAACTGTTGACTTCCAATGAATTAACCCCATTGTTGGAGAAAGGTATTTTTCCCAGTCCCAGTGTCTTGCCTTAAACAACTGAAAAGTTCACGTCTTTAGCCCTTTCCCTTCTTGAACTGCACTTTATGCAGAAATCCCACCAGAGAGCCATCACAATACCTGTGGGAATGGTGAAGAAATGGAGGTGGAGCTTGATGGCTCATCCAGCCTGGTATCTGAAGTATTTCAAGCGGATGAAACAGCGCAGATACAAGAAATGGCGCCAACTGTTCACCCGCCACCAATAGAAGAACACTGTTCACTGGAGACTGACTACTGCAGATCTTGCTCAAGTTCCCCAACTTCAGTCGAGGAAAAAAGCCCCCCTGGTGGCTCTGATTGTTTTATCAAGTACTTTAGAAAGAACAAGAGGAAGAAAAACTTAGAATTATGAATTAATGTTATTGCTGATTGAAGATGCCGGCTTTGGTGAACCCGCGACCTCAGCTGACTTGTAGCTGACTTTTGTTCTGATTGCTTCGTCAGATGACTCTGTAATAGGGTTTGGTTTGCAGCAAAGTTTAACTTGATATTATCATCCTCATTTTTCTTGTCATATTATCATCCTAAATATACTTCTGCAAAATATCATTCATGTATTAAAGTCAATCGACAGATGGCTACAGTAGGAGTTTTTCCGAAATGGTATCAAACAATGTAATCTGGGTTTTCCTACATGAAAATGGGGATCTAAAAGAAAGAGAATCTCCATCTTGTCTCGTCTCATGCCAGTGACTCCACTAGCCAGTCTTGGGAGTTTTGAGCACAATCCCCAGCTTCAGCTTCAAACACTGTTAAGGAAAATAGAAATTCCCGAAGATCGTCCTAAAGAATATGCTGTCATCTGCATCCCCCTTTTTCTCTTTTTGTCTGAAATGGATCCGAGAAGCAAACATGATTTTCTGAGTTGTCCTTATTTCCAGACCATCTATACTCTGTATGTTCAACAACAGAAACATCTCTCTATACTTTCCCCCGGTTTCCTTCCCTTGCTTAGGCCTGCATCAAGCACGAAATATTGGCATATGTATGAAACGAGGGGATCACAGCTTTTAATGGTAAGAATAGTTCAAGGACTTACGGGCGAATGAGGGATCTGAAGAAGAATAAGTGAGAAACAGTACAAAAACAATGAAATTGCAGCTCCAGCGACAAAATTGTAGAACAACCGCCGGTTATCTTTCGTTGGGATGAAAACCGACTTCAATGTGTTTGTCAAATCAAAAAGCCGATGAGAAACCTGGAAGCAAATACAGCTGCTTGATTAAAAATCAAGAGTCCAAGTTCAACACCACAAGTAATATTCATTGAGATACAACTTTTGCTTACCAGGACGTAAATGGCAGTGGTGAGCATGAAATTCAACAATGGGTACCCTGGGATGAATGATAAAAGCCACTTTGGCTGTCCGTTGGGCATGTTTGATCTAAAGCATGCATAAGAAGTGCATAAGAAACTCCCTTACTAAATAGCTATGAAACCTGAGGAAAAGACCAACTAGTTGTTCAGTGTACAAACCTCAACCAGATGTGGAACTGTGAAATATATGTCTCCAAAGTTATCTTCCCAAGCCAACTATTAACCGGAGTGCCAATTAAGGAAAAAAGCAAACATAATCAGAGAATGTCCAAAAAGTTGTAAAATTTGTCGCATGTAATGTAAGTAACTTACGCAAAGAGAGTCAAAGAGCAACCCCGGAGCTGGTGAGTGAAATTACGCAGGGATATGTATACACTGGCATTACAATAAGGCAGATGCGACAATGAGATGTTTGAAATAAAAAGACAGCGCATTGTGTCATTTTCTTTGTATAAAGAAAGCTAAAGCTAAATCCTTGATTGATACATACGTGATGGGAATCCATGATGTATATGGGTGGAACTTGTTGTAGGTTACCTTGTCCATTTTGTAAATATATTCATACCACATATATCCGACCTATACATAAAAATAAGATAATGGTTAATGACATAAAAGACAGAAACATGCAATTGAGGAGATGGGAAGCAGATTATGATAGGAGCAACTCACAAATACAGTAACTGCCACGACTCCTGTCTTGATTGTGAGTTTCTTCTTTGTTTCGGCTTCTTCCAATTTCTCCATCCATTTTTCAACCTGAGTTTTTCCATATCAGTGTGTAAGAGAGACTGTGAGCTTAGATAGCGACAAAGCAGACATCTATCCTTATCCAACAGAGAAGGAACACTCACAGTCGGGTGATAATAAGCATATATCATTCCAATGATCCATATGTACCGATCAAGTCCGGATCTGAAGTGCCATTCATGGAGTCTAGGGAAATCAGGCTTAGCAGGATCAGTGTACCCTACATTAGAAAAAGAAGATAACTGTATTTTCATATCCAGACCTCAATGCCAATCCAGAGGGTGTAAACAACATTAGCTGGGAAGTGAGAGCTATTCAATTAGAAGATAAGGAAAAAGGGTTAATACTAACTAACCTAACATAAATGCTAAAGGACTCCAGAGGATTTCGAAAACTCCAGGGACTTCCCAGATCAGGATTACAGCAAGGAAGCAGGAAAGAATTTTCACTGCCATCACTGAACTGTTTTCGTTGTACTTGTTAAAGATACCCAGAGATCCATACACCATCAAAGTGAAAAGCGTATGCATTGGGCAGATGTAGTATAGCATGTAATCATTGTTAAGAACAATACAGCAGAACACCACAAAGAAATTAAGCCGCCACATCATCTGCACCAGATAGTTCAATATTCAGAATAATAAATCAGATTATATACAACAGAGAAGAATATTAGTTATAGTTATGGAAAAAGTTAAAACTTGTTAGAAGCAAGGAACAAATACCTGAGCAAAGCGTGCTACGCTAAAATCTTTTCTGATGTAATAGTAAGAGAAGTTTCCAAACCCAGTCATCCAAACATAAGCAGCAATAAAGACTCGTATAGCATTGTATATCTCTGCCGCGGCAAAGTAATGATATATTAAGAATAGGACCTGTTAAATAAAACCCAATAAATTGGCATGAGGAATAGAGGGGTTTTAACATTCATAGTAATAGTCTACTCAAGCTCTAACATCAAACATAGAAACAATAATCAGCGGTCATGGTCAATATGTTGTTACTAATTCACTGTCATTGACAGAATTACGTTGACTCAAAGCTATTCTCCTTTAGTCTGGTGGAGAAACTAACATCTTGTTTCATCATCTTAAAACTTGCTTGGCAACTTCTAACACTATTCAAAGGATGATCCACTAACTATCACAAGAATATGAAAGGGGGAGGGGGTTCAAAAACCTTAAATGACAGAAGAAGAATTGTTCAAAAAGAAACCTTTAGCCAAATAAGAGGAAGCCAAAGATAAACCATGACCGACCAAAAGAAATGAATAAGTTAGACAACTAGTCATATCACATCAAACTCTATAATAAATGCATTTGAAAAATGGTTTATGAAGCTACTAAACAGGATTAGTTAATAAATTTGACAGGAAAAACTGGCCTGCATCCATCCTTTCCACTCCTCAGTCTGATGCCTGTTCAGGTACATAATGGATTTCCCGGAGAATGCTGACTTGTCACTATGCTTCTTAAAAGAAGTCATCGCTGATACTATAATGAGGAGAAAGTAGAGAAACAGAAAGAGGTCGCGGTTGTATGTCTGTTCAAAGAACAACAGAATAAGCAGAGGAGTCACAACCATGTCAAGCATTAGCGGTACATAGACCACTCAAAAGAATTATCAAACCTCATGATGACAGTACCTTAGTAGAATCTGGCAGCACATTTGTGCGATCACATATGTAAAAGTACACCAAAAGTGCCCCAAATTCAGACCTAGAAAAGTTTCTCTGGTTAGAATTTGGGGTGGGGGATCCAAGTGATCAGAACACGGAAATTGAAAAACATACCAGCATCACTTACATTGCTCTCAAAGTTGCTCTGTTTTCCAGCAAGAAAGCATCATCCATGGTCAAGAACCTAGCAAATTATATGTGCAGAGGGTAAGAAAGAATTCAAGTAATGTCAACATACAATTGCCAGGATAAAAACATATCCTAGAATTTAACCTGATTAAATTCATTTTGATGGATGAAACATGGAATTTCGTTGAGGTCGATCTCGTAAGACCTCCTTCCAACAATACTGCTCGATCGTCTTCTTTGATGGCATCCTTTCCTAAGTCATCCAGGTTGTTGTCTGAATGACTGCAGTGTGGACGGCTCAGTTGTCAGGATCAAGGGGAAAACAAATTAATGTGATGATAAGACCAAATTTTATGACTAGGATATGGGAAGCCAATATTTATATTCTTTGCCAACATCAAAACATAAAACTTCTACGAGATGTTAACTATTGCACCCAAACAGCTTGAACTTATAGAAAATTTGTTCTACAGCCCAAGTAGGGCTACACGTAAACTGCAGCCTAAACTCAACAGAGCTAGCAGCTTGTACAAGCAACATTATGATCTGCTAAATCGGATAATACATGGAATGCACTTACACTTTGGCAGGAGTTGAAGACTTCCTGTACTCCAGGAACTCTGAGTATATCCATGCAATAAAGATTGGGATAAAACCAAGCAAAAATGACACCTGTGTCACAGTAAACTAACTTTAATATATATGCACCTACATAGCTAAGCACACAAAATCGGCCTCAAATATGCCATCAGAATGAGTAATCCTAAAGAGTATATTCCATAATTAATCAATCAACAACAAGAAACAAACCAACACATAAATGAAATGAAGGCGCTGATAGAAAATATCTCTTATACAAACATTCAAACTTCAGCTCTTCTTGAACATTTGAAATTTGAATTGCCAAAGATTTCACATCCACCATTAGCGCTGGTAGACGGAAGAAAGAAATTCCTTAAAATAGTCAAAAGGACAAACATTGTCTGAAGCAACAATGGCAGGGGAACAAGCATAGCATCCTTAATCTACAGATCAAGGCAACTGGAAGCCAGAGCAGCATCAGCGTGAGGTCAGACTCAATGACTTGCCAATGGCAGCTAAGCAAAGTAAAGGCTACTTAGAGCAAGTTCCTTCACTAAGCAAGGTAAGCTGAGCATTCATCAAATCATCAAACATCTTGCAAAAAAAGAACGAAAGAAAGAAATCCATGCCACATCAGGGGACAAATTCCCCTAAAAAGCTCTTTTTTAAAAAAACCCTGTTCTGTAATGGAGTCCCGCCACAATCCAAACAGTTATAGAAATTTGATCAAGGACCAGCATTGTAGGAAGCAAAAACTGAACTCAGCTTCAACCCAACAACACATTTCAGAGAAGAATTCCAAAATCGAGAAAATCAAAGTAAAAGCAGCAGGCAAGCTTGAAAGCTGTGCACCTGCCCAGGCGTAATCGGCCCCGACACAGCCACCATGTTTGTGATCCGTACACTGCCAACAATCCAAACAAAAGAAGAAAAGGCGAAATTCCAATCAAAACCCAAAATGCAAATCGCTCTGAATTCTCCGACCGGAATCGAGATTCAGCAGAAGAGGAAAGAAAATGAGAGAAGAGGGTACCGGCGCGACGGAGGAAGAGAGCGGGATAAGATAGAGAGTGGCACGGTGACGAGGAGGGTCAAGCCATAGAGGGAAAGAGTGATCTATTAAACGGCATCTTCATCGTAAAGATATACAAACGACCAGAACGGCAGGATAGATGTAGAGAGAGAGAGAGAGAGAGAGAGAGAGAGAGAGAGAGAGATCTGGTGAGAGATAGAGGGGCAGAGTTTTCTTGAAGAAACAGGAAGATTGTTTGTTGAATTAACAAAGGAAAAAAATATGGCGGAAGCGGTAGAGACGTCTGCTTCACTGCGGGCAACAATGGAGGAAATCGTTTGATTAGTCGAAGCAGTTGATGTTGTTGTTGCCAGTTGGTGGCGATGGAGATGGGAATTGGGATTATGGAGACTGGAGGAGTCCTTTTCCGGCTGGTGGATTTGGCCTATCAACGCTGGTGAAAGAGATTCATCAATGGCACCAACAGCAAGAACAAAACACGACCAAGAATATTCAGGGGGAAGGAGGGGGAAAACAAGTAATTTAACCAATTATGAACTTTTATCAAAACAAAACCCCTAAACAAATTTGAAATTATTAATTCTTATTAGTGAGTGATCTAATATTCTAGCATCTGTGAGAGTTTGATTTGTTAAGAATTCTCTTTTGCAAACACAAATTTAAAATTATAAGATGTATGAACCAAAACGACTTGAAAATTAATATGGTTGGAATTCAATATCTAATCATTATAAGTCGAGACTAATCCACGAGAGAATTGGAACATTTCGAGCTATTGCTTATTATTATGGAAGAGATGATAATCGGTGATAGCCGTGTACAATACTTATATAACCCCAACAACTATCAACTAGGGTTATGGAATTACAATCCTTCTTCATGTAGGTGACTCGCCACGGGTACACCGCGATTTAAATCCCGACTAGAACCCATGCATAAACTCTAGCTGGGTGCAGTATATGGCAAGTATGTTTTAATTGTCAAATCTGGGGCAGTCCATGTACCTATGAGTGGGCATATGGTTCGGTAAAATCAAACCGAACCGAACATAAACCGAACCGAAAACCGAATAACATTAATTCGGTTCGTAATTCGGAAGGGAAAAGGGTATATTTCGGAAATCAAGGTCCTTTCGACCGAACCGAATTTTCGAATTCCGAACTGAATTTCCGAATTACTATAATTGCAGAGCTCCAAATGGTGGATTTTTATGTTTGTACTTATTATGAGACTTAAATATTTGAATCATGTTAGTGTTTTATGACTTATGTGTTGAATGTTTGATTTTATCATTAATGTTGCATTTAATTGCATATTTATTATTTACATTAGGGGTGAAAAAATATTTAAAAGAGAGAAAATACAAGCTAACCTCAATAGTTCGGTTTTTCATACAAACCGACCGAACCAAATTATAATTCAGTTCGAATTCAGTTTGAGGTTTGATAGAATTCGGAAACCTGGTATGCATTATTTTGGTTTGGTTCAAATCGAATCGGCCGAATGACCACCCCTACATGTACCCCTACTTCAATCGCTTAGTTTGTTATATAGCAAACGTTTTTTGGTTTAAAACTAAGAAAACTACAAATCAAAACAAGCAAGTAAATCGAGGTTGTCCCAATGAGAGAAGAGTTCACCCCGGGTATTGCTCCCCCTAGCTACATATCAAGATCGCCCAAATCGAATGCAAATGCGTGGAGGTGTGTTAATACACCATAGGAAGGAGCAACAAGTGAAGAAAACCTCACTCTCTTAATCAATCGGTTAAGGAGAACGATTAAGTTAGGAACCTTAGTTCTCTCTATCAATGGATTAAGGATTGCTACAATAAACTAGGGATTCTAGCTCTCTTAACCTATCGACTAAGGATTGCAACAATAAGCTAGGAGTCCTAGCTCTCTTAACCGATAAAACTAAGGGTTGCAAAACCCAATCCCTCGGAACTTAATCCGGACGGCGAAATAACACCCAAGTTAAAGTGCTAAATCGAAGTTTGAGGTTTTCCCTAATTTTCCCTACGTAGGTGACCCAATTGGCCAAAGAATCCAGCTTATCAAAGCCTCCTAACAAAAAAGGCGAATTCCCTCTACCTAGGTCAAATTGGCATAGTAATGAGAAATGAAGAAAACAACCCAAACATAATGAAAATGTAACACCCTACCCTGTACGTTTTACCTAATCATATTGTTCATTCATTTGCAGCGGAAATAATCTCGGGTGTTACATGAATTACCAAAAATCAAATAAATTTTCGACATGAATTAATCGCGTAATGGGCTAGCAGTTCTTGCAACAAGACCTGAAAAATAATTCATCACAAACATATATACTCACAACCATATGCATTGGCTTTACATAGCCATAGTCACAGTTTCATACTCCACAACTGCATACCTTACTAATACATGTCATAGTCGTCACAACTTACACAACCATACAAATCTATACATATCAACTTTCCACACCTGTGGATATCGCACACTACACCAGAAGATATCATGCACATGAAAAACGTTATCAAAACATTTTTACAAAAGGTGTGGATCACTGGCCAAAATCCCGAGTAGTAGTCCAAGCACAGAATAGTTGAAGACCATACCTCATCTTGGCTTCAACTCTAGCTCAGCCCCCACCTATACACCTATCTACTGCTGTTGATGATGATGATCTGCTTACACATGGCATAAGCAGAGAAAAAGGATAAAGAGGGTCAGCTCATGGCTGAGTGAGACAATCATTGCATTGTGAGTTCATAACAAAGCATACTCCTACCACACATGTAACATCCCGACATTTGAAGTCTAGGTTCGACCGAACATTTTGATTGACGATTACGTACGAAGGGTTCGACCTTAGATTAGAGATAATAGTAATAATAATAATTATTATTATTATCATAAAAAAAAAAATTATCACTCATCACTCACTGCACGTTTTCTCTCCCATGGCAAGCTATAATCATTATTATCACCACCACCTACTTTAACCCCCCCACCAAGCCGTTACTACATTAAACCCTCCTCCACCGTAAATTGCAGTAGGCAAAGAGAACCGAAGGAGAGGGAAATAGAAAGAAAGAAGGAATAAAGATCCTCCGTCGTTGTCATCACCATTCCACCGCAAGAGAAGCTTCGTGCAACCAAGCCTGCTTGCGAGAGCAAACGAGCAGTAGCAGCGCCAACCAGTACTCCGTCCCGGAAGGCCAACGCCAACGTCGTCATCGACCAAAAGCGTTCTCCATATGGAACGGTAGAGCTTCGATGGCGGTCCCGGCGTAGTCGATCACCACCAAGCATCGAAACCTTGGTATCATCGTGAAGGGGGAAATCTCAGTAGCACCCCGGTTTCGACGGAATCGAGTTTCAACGTCGGACGAGGAAGATACGAGTCTCTAAAGTTTGAGACGTGAATCAGATAGTTCAGGTACCATTACTGTCTGTTCGAAAAGTATAAGGACTTAGGGGTAATTTCATTTTCATGGTAGGATAATTTTATAAATAAGAACAAATCAATAGGGTGTTTGGATATTAATTCAAGAATTTTTGGAGCTGTTGTCCTAATTATAAAAATAAATTGGTGGGAAGACTATTTCAGTTAAATAGTATGCGAATGTTTTTACTAGATTTGATAATTTTAGTATAAGCAATATACACGTATGTTTGTTCATAAATTATTTGGTAATTGTTAGAGCGGACTCGCTACTTATAAAAATTTAGATGGTGTCGGTTTTAAATTATTAAAGTGTTGTAAGAATATTTCTATTACATTTTTTTTTATTTTAGGTGAAACTAGAGTATATCTTCTACGTTATAAATTGGATACCAGAATTTTAGGCATTTGTGGCATAGGCTCGAAAATTAGTTTTGTTAAAGTAAATAAGAAGGAGGGGTTAATGAAGGTGTAAATTATAGTTAATGATTTTGGTTTATGTTTTAAGTTATTAGAAGTCAGAATTTGTAGTTTGAGGGGTAATGGATTTCTTTTGGGAAGTTCATGAGAATTTTTAGGAGATTTATGCAAGAGATTATTTAATTAGTTAGGATGAGCTAAGACCTTTTTAAGGAATTATGGGACTAAGCTAGGAGAACGGGAAGTTTTGGGAAATAGCGACTAAGGGAAATTTAATCTCGATTTATAGGATCAAGGAGGCGATCAAATTAAGGGACCCCACTTCAAAGGAAGTAAAGTGTCGGCACTTGAGAGGTGAGTGTAAAGGGGGTAAAATCTCCGTCGAGATCTTTTAGTTTATGCCTTTTTAATTCAGTTATGTTATTTAATTTTTATAGTATGTGCGTTATGTGTGTGAGGCATCCCACCGCCTATAAGGGTGGAGGCACGCGTTGTGCTATTTATGTGATGTATGATTGATGGTAATTGAACCCCCGGGCGGTTGGGCCACTACTGGACGCGGTAGATGGTCGGGTCACTACTGGACGGCGATACGTAACGCAGTAGTTGACCGGGCATGGACTGGACGGCGATACGTAACGCAGTACCATTGCCTTGAGGATAGGGACACCGGACGGCGATACGTAACGCGGTGAACCCTAGTAATAAGTACATAAATTAAGATAGACGTACAGAACTTCTATAAGCTAACAGGGACTAAAATATTAAGGATGAAAGCGAGAACGGCTTTCATGTAAGAGGAAGTAATTTCTAATAATGTATTAGTAGGGTTTGCTTAGGCAAAGACCTTAGAAAGTAACGACGAGACTGACCCCTTCTCACTCACCAGGTGTGGAAAGGGGAAGAGGACATAACCAGCACCAGGAGGTTGATCAAGGAGGGCAGCCGCGTCAAGCTTGAAGATGTCGGAAGGATCAGGGTATTGAGATGGGACCCTTTTTAT